ATCCATAGACTCCCTTGCATCAGCATTATTGAATTTTAAAGATTTTCCGACAACGGCAAAATCTGCAGGCCTACTGATGGCCTACTACTCTACAGACGTTTTTTTTCTTCTATCGCAGAGGGGTCTTTTTCGCGAGTTTCAGATTCCCAATGCCCTAGTTTCATATTTTCTGATCATGTCCATAAAGTACCATTTGTTATCCAAGTCAAAGATATTAAATAGATATCCCATTCTGCCCTCACTGGTAATGGTATGTTTGAAAATGTAACTCTACCTTTAGATGCGTCTCGTTTGCATATATTACAGTCCTGTGTATTCTAATTCTACGTAGTGTTTGATTCGGTCAAGTTTGCTTGGTCACAGTACAATACGCTAGCTTGCTTCACGAAGCCCCTTTTTCTTCTCACTGTTTGTAACCTTTGAAATGCTTTTCTCTCTTCTTGCTTCCCAGACTATCAGACTTTCCTTTTTCTAAACGATAATCTACATGCTTGATTTCACCTCCTTCTCTTCTTACCCCCTTCCTCCTTACATAAACTTACATTGGTCTCAGACCTCTTTTCAATGCCTCCCTCCTTTCTCTTGTCATGGCTTTGCTATTGGCCCCAGACCTTACATAACCAAAAAATTTATGTTCACTGTTTCTGTTTTTATCAACGCAGCTTTTGCTGTTTCTTATCTAAGTCTTAAAAGCAGCTGTTTACGATTGACAATCTCTTGCAGAGCTGCCCTAAAGTTGTGCACGATCTTATGTTATCTTGCTGGCACAAAGATCGCGTGAAAAGACCAAAATTTAAGGACATTCGTGGCACGATTGATAAGTGGATCCGGAGTCCGGAGTTGCTGAAACACGAAGAATCGGTTGTGACAAGGCGGTATGTTGCAATATATTTTCTTTCAATATACAAGAAAACTATTAAACTTGAATATGAAGTTGAAGGAATCAGTTTGGTTAATGCGATACAACTTTTGTCTCTGAAGAGGAGAGGGAGTCCCAGTGACAGCCATATTCATACCGGACTACACTCGAAACGCTGTGTTAGCTTCGAATAAAGTTGTGTTGCCCACGAAGTTTCATTCATCAGTACTTCATACACTCCTGCACACAGCTGTTGCGATGAACGTCTAAATAAGTGTATCATGCATATTTAGTCGCACATTTAACCCCCTGGGATTCCCTCTCCTGGAATTTTCTACGTGCGAGCTTAGGAGGTGTTCAATGTAGTAGCAGAGGAATGAGTCGGAAGGGGGGGGGGGGTACTGGAGCATATACCCACCAATATTTGTATCTCTCGAATGGGCCCCGTTTTCGCTGACCTGTGTCCCTTCCCCACTTCTTTAAAGCGCCCTATATCTTTATATGAGTTCTCAATCTATACGATATGAGTTTTATACAATCTTTCTTAGAAATATAAAGAAGGCTGCCTTCATACTCTATCTATTACTTCTCCTTGTTTATCTATCGTAGTGACACTAATTTGGATTACGCGTCAATGAAGACCTTAAAAGAATGGCTTGATTCGATTGGGATGTCGCGATACATCGAGAACTTCACTAAAAAGGGCCTAGTCACACCCCGACAGATCTTAGAACTCACGGATCCAGATCTGAAAGATATAGGAATTGAAGCTGTTGGCCACCGAAACAAAATTATGAAGAACATCAATTTGACGAAAGGCCAGTTGATTAGAACAAAATCCATGGCAATCTAAGCGCTGTGAGGCAAGTTGCTTTTATTAGAAATTACATCGAAAACTTCATTACATCACTCTCATGTCTGTGACAGTAGTTTGTCATGATGTCATAATAAGTATTTGACCAATTTTTGAGGACTATCTAGTTTGACTTGTTTATGTATTGCCCTTGATTGTATAGATGCATTTCTACGAAAGACATTTTTGATGTGACGTTTTTATATTAGAAGTATTGAATTGTTTGGAGAACGTACGTAGAGCATTCTGCACCATAGAAGACATTCCAAGTTGTCTTGTAAGCTGTTGTTGTGGTTTTCTTCCATAAGTTGTTGTGCATAGGTTGAATGTTTTATTTAAAGGCATTGAGTCATGATAATATCGATTGGGTATACCCAAAGTGCCAAAATCCGCTGAGTCACGATTTTTATGACTGCGATGCTATTGGTTGACCTTAAACTGGTCACATGAACTCACCTCGTACTGATTAAAAAAACAATTTCCATCAATAGCAAGTTGTCAACAACGGATGCGAATATCACATGAAACAGCAGCGATCACGTCGAAACCAAATGAAACTCTATAGAAAAGGCCTATTTGCCATGACTCAATGCCTTTAACAAGAAGGTACTGACCTGTATTGAGTAGAAATCCTTATTCAAGGTCACCTTGCGGCGTCATGCAGTGAAATGTGACTGTTTTTATCATTTCATATAAGTGAATCGATCTGTATTTACAGTGTATTTTTCAAATTAATTTTCTTATTGCAGTTAAGATTAGAGTTTTCGTAAGGTAGATTCATTTTTAGTCACCGATTAGTAACAGTTATCGATCTTAGCAAAAAAGGCTTCTAGGTTTAATATCTAAATATTTTAAAATCGCGAAATCTTTTATGAAATGAGAGGTAAAAGATGTTGGCGTTGCCTTGTTCCAGAATCGATAAAACCAACTGTAGAAATCAGTTGCATCTTATTATTATAAAGAACCTACAAAAGCATTTTCGCGTAGAACCTTTTAATTTTGAAGCCTCAGCATTTGCCACTTAATATGTGCATAGTTGCATTCTGGTATAACTTAGATGGTTTTGAAACAGTGATGAATAAATGCCCAAGTGCATTAGGTATGAATTTAGGAGTTTTTATATCCGTTACTTTTTGACATGAAGCTATTTTGTTTATTAAGATATTCCTGATTTAATCTTTCTTGTGAATATCTTTTACTAGTCGAAACCATTTTTTATACCGTATATAATGATAATTGCAGATAAATAACTATTTGATAACGAAATCCAGCTGAATAGTTTCTTGAATGTCCGAGAGAAAATAGTCGTTACATGTGAATAAGTGTTTTACGGTTAAATCTAAACCCATTCAGTATTCAGTCTGGCAGAAGCGGAATAATAAAAGGGTTTTCTAAACCTGGTAGATCTGAAGTTCACGAGTTTACCGATACATAGGTCTTGGAGATGTTTCTTAAAGCGTGCTTGATGTAGTGGTGTCTAGATATCCTATTTCATAGACTTTTTGACAAACTTTTCAAACTTCGTTGCCTCACTTTACAAACCCACTCTCACATTAAAGGCCTACATCTAAACTGTTCGCATTGACGTCATTTCATCTCTTTTCCTGTTCTTATACATTTTTATGTATATGTTTAAGGCTAAAACAGTATATCTTAGAACTACCACCATAAGTAACAAAGTTTTGATATTTTCATTTTTTCCGAAACATCAGAATTTTCTCATCTAAATAAACTCTTAAAGTAATTTGTATCTGTAATAGTTTTTAAGTAATTAAATAGTATTTAAATAGTAATTAAAATAATTTTGTTCATAGAAAGTTTTTTCCATAAGAAATTTTTCTTTTTTGAGTGACCCAATTTTGAAAAAAGTACAGTTACAGGTTTTCCAAAGTTGTAAATTTTTCCAGTGATTTTTTAGCTAAAAATCAAACTCATTGTCTTAACAGAACTTAACTATGTATCCAGCCTTGTTATTTAATCTTGTTTTCCTAATAAAATTTTCCTGTTTCAGTGACTCTTTTTCCAAAAGAAAAAAACGTATAGGCCTCCAAAAATAATGAATTTTTGACAGAATTTCCCTATATATAAACATTTGCCAGGTTTTGGTTTTGTACCTTGGCCATGGAACGTAGTTTTTTCTTTTATGTTTTAATGTTATTCCCTTTTTTTCTGTCTGGATTTTCACAAAAAAGTAGATTATAGACTTGCTAAAAGCATTTATTATTCACAGAAGTTTTCCAGCTCAAAGCAGCACAACTTCTCGTGTAATAAATACCTAACAGTTTTTCACAATGTATCCTACTCACGGAAGCTAGTTTTCCAATTGCCTTTGTTCACATCCCCCAATTTGACAAAAAAGTAAAGCTACAGGCTTGCCAAAATCGTCGAATTTTGACAATCTCTTTTCCCTTCAAAGCAACCAATAAATGGTTGAGACTTTTCAAGGAAAGCTTATATTCTCACTTTTCCCCTCCCCCAATTCAATGTTGATAGCATGATTGTGAAGCAAAAATGAAAGAACTATAAATCCAACATTGCTTCGAGGGAAAAGGGGGATTCGAATTTACAGGGGCAAGGTAAAGTAAACAATTACGAAAATTGCATTTTGTCTCAACATTTTTGTCCGGGATTGTAGGTCTATGGCTATGCATGGCTGTTGTTGTCAGGTTCCACTAATCATGTGACTAACCTTTGCAACTCAAACCACTCTGCTACCATTCATTCTAAACCTTTTTTGTCTAAATAGAATATCGCTATAGATCTAAGCTCAGGGCCCACGCCACAGGGGGAGGCAGGGGGCAATGCCCCCCCCCCCCATTTTTATTTGCTAACTATAGATATCAAATCCTCCTATTGGGTAGTAAATAGGTATAAAATCCTCCTTTTGTGGCTCCCCATTTTAGAATCGGTGGCGCAGGCCGCAGGCGCAGGCAGGCAGGGTAAAGCTGGTAAATGTAATCATTGTTGATATACTTCAACTTAATTATTTTTTACAGGGTGGTAAGATCCCTGTCAAATGGACAGCACCGGAAGCAGTCCAACTAAAGAAATTCACTATTGCTTCGGATGTTTGGAGTTATAGAATCCTGCTTTGGGAGGTAATGTGTTACGGAGAAAGGCCATATTGGAACTGGGGCAATAATGAGGTATATTCGT